TTTTTTTTTTTTTTTCAATCCACTCTTAATAAGCTACACCCCCAGGTTCAGAAGTCTTTGCTGTTAAACAATGAAATATTTAAATGAAGCTGGGTGTGGTCACCCATGCTGTAATCCTAGCACTCAGGAGGCTGAGGAAGGAGGACTGCCAGGAATTTGAGACTACCCTAGGTTATAAGACCCAGTCTCAAAATCTAAAAAGATTTAACTGATGACTCAAGATCCAGCATAGCACTGTAATCGCTTAGCTGGCACAAGAGTTGGGCAGGGAATTGTAGCTACAAGGACATGGTTATCCCACAGGCTTCTGAGGTTTTCAAGGGGTCAAAGGTGAACATGGTCTGATAGGACTCCTTGTGAAAGAGTCACATCACAAGCAGGTCTGACTCATCAACTGGGAAGTTGGTGAGCTTGCTTTTCTCCATCCAGCTCACATTTCAGAGAAAAGGTCAGAGAGAAAAGTATTCTCGGGATGGATGGCTCTGTCATGACTTCTGGGGCTCAGGACTGTATCTTGGGGACCCGCTTGGCAGCCAGGTAATCACAGAACCACAGCTTAGTTGTGGACTGCTAAGGGTGTGCAGGAACTAAGCATGGGGGTGCTAGTTTCACACTGCTCCCGAGGCTCTCAACAGCAGCAGAAACCAGGTGACAGAGTCCTGGCAGTTGGTCTGTGACATAGGGAGGAGCTATCAGCTTCTGAGACAGAACTACTCAGGTTTTCGTTCAACTTGCTTATTACCCCTAATCCATTGTCACCCGTGACTGCTGATATCTGCTGTGTTTAACAGGTGAGTACTGGGGCAGACCTTTGATGAAGGCACACTGTAAGAGGTGCTTTATTTTTCATTTTGTTTATTTTGGGTTTTTGAGACAGGGTTTCTTTGTAGTCCAGGCTGTCCTGGAATTTGCTGTGTAAACCAGGCTGGCTGGAACTCGAGAGATCCACCTTCCTCTGCCTCTCCAGTGCTGGGATTACAGATGTTGCCACCACTGCCAGATGGTTAATTTTTTGTTTGTTTGTTTATCGAGACAGGTTTTCTCTGTATTGCTTTGGAGGTTGTCTTGGAACTCACTCTGTAGACCAGGCTGGCCTCGAACTCAGAGATCTGCCTGCCTCTGCCTCCGGAGTGCTGGGATTAAATGTGTGACCCTCCAATGCCCGGCCAGCTTGTTAGTTTTTTAAACTTATTATTTAGGTTTTTAAAACTTACTTCATCTTCATCGTTGTTGAGACAGGATCTCTATTATGTAGCTCTGGCTGTCCTGGAACTTGCTGTATAGACCAGACTGGCCTCAAATCACAGAGATTTGTCTGTTTCTGCCTCCCAAGTGTTGGGATTAAAGAGTGCACCACCATGCCCTTTTAAAATTTTCTGTATTTGGTGTTTTGCCTTCATGTATGTATTTGCATCATGGGCATGTCTGGTGCCACAGAGGCTGATCCCCTGATACTGAGGTGACAGACAGTTGTGAGTCACCCCAGATCTTCTGTAAGAACAGAAAATGTTCTTAACTGAGCCATCTCTCAAGCCCCTGGTTTTTTTTTTTTTTTACAGGACTCGACCAGTCCAGTCTCACCCTCCTGCCTCCACTTCCCTCTCTCCCTCCTCTCCGTTCCATCTGTCCTTCCTTATTTTCATTATGCAGCCCTAGCTGGCCTGGCATTCTGTAGACCTAGGACTAAATGCCTGAGTTTCCTATTGTTTTAAACAAAAGCTCCTGAGTAGCCAGAAGAGTTGGCAACTGCAATGATGCTGGGCATCTCTGAACCTCTTTCTATGGGAAATGAATACGATGAACTAATACATACGTTCTTCTCAAGTCTTGCTACTTGCTTTCAAGTTTACGACAGTATGGTTTAAAACCCATGTCTTCTTTTTGTGCCATTCAATGTGTCCTGACATACTGATGGTGATAGTAAAGACAACAGTGGAAGGTGCTCTTGTGGAAGGTGTGTATCAAATGAAAATGGTGTTTTAAAACTACCTTTGCGGGGGAGGAGGATGGAGAAATGGCTCAGTGTTAAGAGTGCATATTCTTCCTACAGAGGACATGAGTTCAGTTCCCAGTACCCACACTGGATCGCTCCTTATAACTCCAGTTCCAGGGGATCCAATGTGCTCTTCTGGCCTCTGATGGCATTGCACATACACGGGGTGCGCACACACATACACGGGGTGCGCACACACATACACACACACACACACACACACACACACACACACACACACACACCTATACCCAATAAATAAAACCAAGTGTGATGACGTGAGTTTGGTCCTGGGACTCTTGGTAGGAACTAATTCCTAAAAGTTACTGTCTTCTACATGAGCACTGTGGAATACACAGACACATTTTTTCGTTAAGTACTAATAAAAATACTGGTTTTGTTCAATGAGTGTGAAATATTTTAGAATTATCCTTAAGAATATCCTTAAGTGAGCTGTGTGGTGGTGGTGGCTGTGCACATCTTTAATCTCAACATTTGTGAGGCAGAGAGGCAGGTGGATCCCTGTGAGTTCAAGGCCAGCCTGATCTACACAGAAACCCTGCCTCAAAATAAATAAGTAAATAAATAAGAATATAAAGGAAAACATAAGTGAAAAAAGGGAAAAATGGTAAGTGATCAAGATGTGGTGGTCCCATACATGTACTCCCAGAATTTGGGAGGCAGAAGCAAAAGGACCAGGTCAGGAGTCAGAAGATTTCTGTCTCCATAGAACAACAGTCAACAGTAGTTAAGATGGCTGACTCAGTGGGTAAAGACACTTTGTCACCAAACCTGATGGCCTAGTTTCTATCTGAGGAACCCACAAGATGAGAGAACCAGCCCCTTAAACTTGTCCTCTGACCCCCAGATATGTGTTGTGGCAAGCACCTCTTCTCTGACAAAATAAAATATAATTCAAAACAAAACAACCCCAAATAAACACAAAAGAAAATGTGATGAACCCAGACACTATAAACTGGGGCTAAGTTAATGTCCAAAATGGCCCTTTTCTTATTTCTGCATTCTATGTACAGAATTCCTTTGTGTAGCAAAAGGCTCCAAGTCCCTGAGGACTTGGTCCCAGGAATATGAGCCCAGGGTCCCTTTTGAGTGTCTCTTCCGCCAGTTAGTGAGCAGACCGGACAGAGCAGTGATAATACAGTGCCGTGACAAAGACAGGAAGCGAGTCTGGCACAGGCCAGACTCCCAGACAAAGGACAGCAGGGACAGTGCTTTCATCAGCAGCTGTCACAGCCACCAGCTCAGTCTCTGCCCTTCTGTTTTAGTTCAGAGCCGACAGACACCCTGGAAGAGCTCCCACCCAACTGAGTTCAAGGAGGTCCCCAGTGTTCAATGACTGACTGCTTTGTTTAATGGCTAATTCCAGCAGCCAATCAGACAATGCTAGACACTTCTAGCATCTCCTGGAGCTTTGGACCTACTCCAGTGACTGCTAAAAATGACAAACACACCCATGGCTCTGCTTCCCCAAAGCCTAGAGAAGAATACAGACTGGATTTCAGGTTTTGTGATACCACAGTGCAACCTGGAGTCTTTGGGTACAAAAACGTCTCAAATTCTAGCTCATTGTGACATTTAAAAAATACAAGAGAAAATCACAAAAAGGACAAAAAGTGCTAGTAAGAGGAAACCAGCAGCCGGCAGCTCTGCCCTAATTCCTTTCTGGGAATGCAGGCTTTAATTTAGGGCTGGCTCTCTGTACCTCACTTCCCTGGCCTTCCTTTTTCTTTGATAATGACCAGTTATTCATGAGCAGATGAAGTTAGGTTAAAGCCTATCATTGTCTGAGTTT